CCGAGGGCTGCAGTGAGCAAGGCACTGCATGCCCCTGAAAGCCAGGGCAGGAAGCTTCCTCCTGCCGCTCGACGTGAATCAAGCAAAGACGCCGCCCCCGGACCTTGTTCGGAGCTGAATCCCACAGCAGCCACAGTAGAAGCAGACTGTGGCTGCAGGAGCCCTGGACCTCTCAGGTCGGCCGGCACACCCGAGTCTGCTACCTTGAGGCGATGCTTTGCCATCTCTGGGGCTCCAACCCAGGCTCCGCCTCCACGGGCAGGCTGCTCAGCACATCCCTGCGGGACCCGCCTCAGGCATGGGGGTGGCAGCGGTTCCAACAGGCCCATGAGGACAGAGCGGGACGCCAAAGAGGGCCTGACGCAGAAGCACCACGGACACAGGGTGGCCGTGTCTGTGCTGTCCGGGGGGAACCTGAGAGGGGACCTGAGCGGTCAGTGGGAAGGAGTCACCACGTGGTCTGAAAGCGAGAGGGGAGTGCAAACATATTTTTAGGAATATGGCATAATATGGAAGAAATGTGTCCACTTGATGCATGGGACTGCGGACATGCCAGACAGCGCTCTCGGCTAAATTTAGCAGAAGTCTCTTTATTTAAGAAATATGTTAGCAAATACGTAACAGAGGAGACATATGGAGTGCACTGCCTTGCGTGTCTACCACATAGGACGCCAGGGTGTCACCGGGGTTGCTGTCCTTCCTTGAGGTGGCCGGGCAGTCGGCCGGGGCAGCTGTGAGGGCAGAGTCACTCGTGGTGACTGAGATGTAGCCAAGAGGGCAAGTGTAGCCCTGGAGGCCTCTGGATTCTTCTGGAAGACTGTGATATTCAGGAGAAAGAAGGCCACCGCCAGGCCCATAGAGATTTACTGCGGTCGATAAATTCCAGGCGTTCTAGGTTTCTTTGGCTCTCGGCACCCCTGGAAGATCAGAGGTGGGGTCATTGGGCAGCAGGTGGGAAATAGGGCAGAGAGCCTGGCCGCGGGCTCCCTCACCTGGAGCCTCGAGGCCTGTGGTGCAGGAAGAGGGTCAGGAGAACAGGGTCCACGGAGGCGCAGTGGCAGGAGCCACTGAGTCAGGAGAGCCCCTGGGTCTGGGGGCAGATGACCAGACAGACGGCAGCAGGGGCAACAACTGGTACGGGCCAGTCCCACCCGAGGCTGAGAACGTGGTGCTGGGCCAGCCTCCAGAGAGCAGGGACCCTCAGTTCCCGTAACAAGGATGGGGCGGTTGAGAGGGTCTCGTGGTCTCCATCAGACCTGCTTTTCATGCAGCACCCAGTGGGCGAGAACATGGGGACAGAGGAGCTGCTGGTGTGATGCCCTTGGGCCCGGGGGAGGGGCTCCTTAAATCCTCTTAATGGGATTAAACCCTTTGTCCAAGGATTAAAAGATAAACGGCTTGAGATGAAAATGCTCCTCACGCCAAGGCAGACTCCTGAAGCTTGGTTTCGGAGAGGGACACAGCCTGGAAGACCTTGGCAAATGGAAATGGGGACACGGCCACAGAGGGAGCCTGAGCCAAGCCGGGCCGGCTTCAGATCCTGCTGCGGCCGTGAGACCCAGAAAATAAAGGCCCAGACTGCCGTCAACCCCCTCACGACTCTGTGGACCTCCCGTGGTGGGAACGAGAAGCAGCCTCACAACAGTGGCTCCTGCCATTGTGCGAGAGGTCCCCTGGGGTCTTCAAATCTTTTCCTTCAAGAGACTCTCCATTCCTGACTTTATTTTATCTTTTGATTCTCTCACCATGTAGTCAAGCCTGCAGCTTTTGTGGAGGCTAATTTTTTTTCCTTGAATTTATGTAATTTTGAAACCAACAAAGATTGCACACACAACATCCAGGGCAGAGTTTGGCTGTATGGGAGCAGGAAATCCAATTAAAAACATGGAACTGGGAAGAAAGGGGCCGCTGACGAGATGAGGAGTGACAGTGAAGCACGGAGTTCACTGAGGGGCAGGAGGAACGCTCCATCCCTGGGCTGCCCCATCCCTCAACCCGGAGGAGACGCCACTCGGGCTGTGATGGGTGCGCTCCTGCCCAGAGGCCCCGGGAGCCCGTCCCGACCCTTGGCATCTGCAAGGCTGGCGGTTTTCATCTTTGAAACGATTCCCTAAACAACAAAGGAAGGATCTGGACAGTGGAAACGGGAATTGGGAAGAAATCGTTCACTTGGTTTGGGCCATCATTTTCTTCACTTTCTCACGTTAAAATACTTTGACTTTCAATCCATCAGCAGGGAATATGCACTCATGATATTTGCAGAATGTCTGAAATGTTTAAGAAGAAAAACAGCTCTTCACACGGATGGAACAGCATCAGGAAATTATAGGTGTGTATGCTTCACGCAGGCAGATTTGGCTACAGGTCTTTCCAAGGACCAGTCGACCTGGAAGGGCCTTCCTGGGAATGCTGCCCACACAGGGTGTGACCCCGGGGAAACTGAGGGGCGGGGGGCAGGGGTCTTTGACTTCCAAAGTGGCCGATATTACTGCGAATGGAAGTCGGTTCTCAGCCCGTCCTACGTCCACGTCTTTCACAGCCACATCAGGGGTGGGGTTGGTAACCACACCTTAGTGTCTTTTGGGACCTGCGGGGTAGAGTTCAGCAGCACAAATTCCTGTGCCGTTCCTGGTTATTTTTTTTTAAAGATTGGCCCTGAGCTAGCATCTGTTGCCAATCTTCTTTTTTTTCCCTCTTCTTTCCAAAGCCCCCCAGTATAGTTGTATATTCTAGCTGTAGATCCTTCTAGTTGTGCTGTGTGGGACACTGCCCCAGCATGGCCTGACGATCGGTGCCATGTCTACGCCCAGGATCCGAACCTGTGAAACCTTGGGCCACGGAAGCAGAGCACGTGAACTTTACCACTTGGCCATGGGGCTGGCCTCTTCCCGTGCCAATCCTATACTCACTGAGTCCCAGATGCACACAGGCCCCGAGGCGGCTCTTGCACTGGCCCGAGCGAATGTAGGCACCACCCAAGGCCTTTACTTGTCACAAAGGTGACGAGCGCTGAGGGAACGCTAAATATGTTTGACACAGAAAAGCCCATGTCAGCGATTATGCACAGCAGAAGGGAGCAGAGGGCCGAGCAAAGGGAGGCTCAGATCCAACCGCACAGAATGAGCCTTTTCTCTCACTCACATCACCAAGGCTCAAAAAGAAGCTTCATCTCTAAAGGTCCAGCGTAGATGCCACCCTCGTCACCGCAACGTCGCACAGCAGAGCCAGGTGTCTGATGACACTCTCATTTCCCCACAGCTGAGGGTCTGAGCAGAGGCCCCCAGAGAAGGACCAGAATTGCGTTGATGGGCTCCGGACGCCTGGTGTGCGCCATGTGGCTGGAGCCGGGCCGGACACAGCCCGGTTCTCTCCTGACCACCCTAGAAGGGCAGTCACGCTGGCATTGCCGTACTTGCTGGGTCAGCACGGCCCCAGGGCCTGGCTGGCAGCCCAGGTGTGTCCCACGCCCATTGCTGCTGCTTCAACCCACACAGGGAGAGCAGGAGTGAGCTGCCCGTCCAGCAGAAGGACGCAGGGGCCAGGCCATGGCTCTGCTTACGACTGGGCCTCTGACCACTCATGTCATTTCTCCCTACCTCAGTTTCTCCATCAGTAAAGTGAGTTGTCATCAAGATGAATGAGATGAGCGGTGGGTGGGGGAACCAGGGGACACTGGTCAAAGAGCACAAACTTCCAGTGATAAGTTCTCTGTCTCACCAAAAAAAGGTAAATATGTGAGGCGACGGTTAGTTAGCTTAATCAGGGGACTCATTTCACCATGTGTCTGTGTGGAAACATCCCATATGTGCACCTTAAATATATACAATGTCTACGTGTCAATCACAGCTCAATAAAAAAACCACACGAGATAATACTGGTCATTGATCCGGTTCACGGCGCACCCAACAACATCAGCCACCCCACATCGTCCTTACTGGCCAGGGGTCAGTGAAGTCACTTCTCTTCCAATTAACAGGATTTTGGCTAAAATATAAGGTACTTCCTTTTCTAGGTTTTAATAATTTGATGGGAAAAGAACGGGCTTTAAATTATATCTTGGTGAGGAGAACAAAGGAAGCCCCTCTATGAAAGGAATCTGGGGAGACGTGTCAATCCCCTGGGAAAAGCCGTCTGACAGCAACGTCACCCACGGTCTTGCCGGGTGGCGGGAGCCAGACCAATGTGCAGGTGGGGCGGTGACTGAGGGGCGGGCGAGAGGGGAGCGGGGTGTCAGCGGCACAGAGTTTCCACCCGGCACTTTGTGGTGTTCCCTGAGGCTCTCTGGAGGCCTCAGTGTATGCATCCACACACCGTTTGCAGGGGACTCAGCCTACTGCAGGTTTATGAGGCGCTCATACACCCTATGGGGTAAAGAAACGCGGCCCAAGGGGATGGCAGGGATCTGGTTTTCTGATGTAACAAGACAAAGCCACAGTCGTAGACGTTGCCGGTGAGCGTGCGGGACCCAGAGCTGGGCTGCGGAGGTTCCTGCACAGGCCCCAGGCAGAGCTGGAGTCATTTAGACGATCGCCTCCTGGAGAAAGGCTTCACCTCCAACACCCTAGAACCACAGTGGCCAGCGCAGCCGCCTGAGGGGCTGCCTGCCGCAGGCCGTGTCCCCGGCCCGGCCCCAGATAAACCACCAGCAGCCGGCCGGGGACGGACTTAACAGCCCACGTCATGGCAAATCTTAACCCCAGCGGCAGAAAGGACGCTCGCCAGGCTTGTCTCGTGCACAGGGAGCCTGCTCTCGGCGTCACCTTCCACCACACCAACAGCAGGAGGAGGGAACCAGCCCTTCTCGCTTCCAGAACGAAGGAACCATAACTAATCCGAAGGCCTGAAGCAGGGCTCACAGGGGATGTGGCTGGACTTGGGCGACGAGAAGCAGCCGCTCGGAGGAAACGAGATCTCAGCTGTGCGGCCACGAACGGATGCCGCTCAGCGAGCACTGTTAGCAAACGGATGGGAGGCATGAGAACCATGTGGGGAGCCCTCACCTTGCCCTCGTCCTCAGGGTCGTTGTAGCCGCACGCGTCTATGAAATCTGGAAACATCTCCGACCATCCGTCACTTGTGCAGTTTTTGCTTATGTTTCCTGGAAGACAAAGTTCAGGCGTTTGATCTAAGGTCGTGAAACTGGGCTTACTGTGACGACCCAGTCAGGGCTCACACCTGCGTGTCCTGAAATGCTCCCTGGGGGTCAGCGGGGAGCCCCGAGTCTGGTCCAGCTGTGCCGCTTCACAGGGTGTGTGTCCACCTTACTCAGGTGCCTGGTCCAGGGAACCCAGGCAGCGACTCCCTCGCGTTTGTGGGCCCAGCGCCCGAGGGAGAGCACCTGGGGCCTGGGGCACAGACACAGTGAGGACAGCAGTCAAGATGGAACTGCTGTCATACTAAGTGTTACTATTATCACGGAGCAGAATGAAAACTAACAGACTCGCCTGTTCTGTCAAGTGAGAGAGACGTGCAGCCAAATCCTGATCATTCTGGAGTAGCCATCCCGTTCTGTCCTGCTCCAGTCCCGCTCCTGACAGTGTCTTGCCCACCCCCGGCCAGTCCCCTCCCTTCTCTGCCCTGTGGCACAGGGACCAGAGCACACAGGGCAGGCTCCACTTGGTCACGGAGGTTGGAGGAAAAGATACTGGATGTAAGTTTAAATTTCATGAAATAAAGGCAGTTCTGACCTTATAATCCCATTGTTGGCTCCCAACTAACCTGGCCCTGTCTGCTAAACTCAGGGAGGCAACGTTCCCTCCATTTAGGAGGTGTCCTTTGTAGACGACCACACAGAGCAAGGGGACGGTCTCTGTAGGCGCTGAGGGGCGAGGGACGACAAGAGGCTGCACTGGTGGCCTGTGTCACGCCTGGAGCCTGCTGGTGGCTCTGGGAGGCTCAGACCTGGGAAGGCGCCTCCTGCCGTCAGCACCGTGGGGACGGGCCCCACTGTCTCCCTGGGCAGCCGCCCGCCCCCCAGCTTCTGTGACTTGTGGGCTGAGAGCCTTCAGATTTAGCTAATGTTTTGCTCACGTGACGTCTTTTTATTTTGAGGGCGACCTTGAGGCAGGCTTGGCAGGCGTTGCTGTCCCCCACCTACAGATGGGAAGAGGACGGTCTGGGGTTCAGTGGGTGCCCCAGGGTCTGTAACGACTGAGCGGCAGAGAGTTCTTCTGACTCAAAAGCCCCTTACTTCTTCCACACCAAGGCAGCCCACCTGTTCACTTGTTTTGATCAATTTGATGGTTTGAGAGGAAATCAAGTGCAGAGCACTCACACCGAGGTGGTGACGGCACAAGCAATTCTGGGCGCGCTGTGTGGGCAGAGGCGGGAGACCACAGACCCCGGTCCAGTGGAAAGGATGTGGGTGGGGTGGCCTCCGCAAAGCCACTGGAAACATTGCCTGGGCCGGCCCTGCCAGCCTCTCTCCACACCGTCACCCACGAGTCCCTCTGACTCCAGCTCCCAGAGGGCAGGGCCCACAGTGGCCAGTGACAGCACGGCTCCTGAGAGACGGGGCCCACAGCCCCAATTCACAGAGCAGGAGACCGAGGCCCACAGGAGACAGCGGTCTGCCCGCCAGAGTCAGGATGAGAGTCACTGGAGGAGCAGCCATGTACCCTCACCAAGCCCCACCCGTGAGCCAGGCTTGTGCCAGACTCCACATTCGTATCAACTCATTTAACCCTGACAGCCACTGAGGAGGCCTTTGATGATCCCACTGTACAGCATCCTGAGGCTTAAAGAAGCAGGACCCTGGGGCCAGCCTGGTGGCACAGCAGTTAAGTTCGCTCATTCTGCTTCAGCGACCCAGGGCTCGCTGGTTCAGATCCCGGGTTAGGACATGGCAAACCATGCTGTGGTAGGCGTCCCACATATAAAGTAGAGGAAGATGGGCACGGATGTTAGCTCAGGGCCAGTCTTCCTCAGCAAAAAGACAGCAGTTAGCTCAGGGCTAATCTTCCTCAAAAAAAAAAAAATAGAAGCTGGACCCTTGCCCAAAGTCACACAGCTAATAAGCGAGGGCCCCGTTTCAATCCTGACAGTCAGCCCCTCATCTGCACTGCACGCCTGCCACCCAGTCTGCACTGGCCCAGTCCTGGCACCTCACCCGAGCTCTGTGGATGGGGCCATGAGTGGGCACTGAGCCGGCCATTCCTCACTTCTTATAGGCAACCACTAATCTAAAGAAAACACTATAAAGTCAAGATTCCCCCACAGCGCCCGGCTTCACACGCCTCGGAGACACCTGAAGGCACAGGTGGGAGGTGAGCTTCCAGGAGACACCTCAGGTAGCAATGTGCAGGGTCCAGGGAGGTGAGAGAGGACAGGGAGGTGAGAGAGAGGATGGGAGGTGAGAGAGAGAATGGGAGGTGAGAGAGAGGATGGGAGGTGAGAGAGAGGATGGGAGGTGAGAGAGGATGGGAAGGTGAGAGAGGACGGGGAGGTGAGAGAGAATGGGAGGTGAGAGAGAGGATTGGAAGTGAGAGAGGACAGGGAGGTGAGAGAGAAGATGGGGAGGTGAGAGAGGATGGGCGGTGAGAGGAAGGTAAGAAAGAGGGGGAGGAAGCTTTTCGTCCTGCTCCCTAAAACCAACGCCCACAAGCCGGCACAGCTGCACCTGCCTCAGTAAACTGATGCGCACATGGGGAAGCCGGCCCCTCAGATGCAAACCCTGTGCAGGACCCAGAAACCACACAGACAGACTGTACCTGGTTTGCTGTAAAAATTGCTGAACACCTTTGGACAGGGCACTGTGACCGTCTCGCCAACATCCGCAGGGCGCCAGCACGTCAGGTTGTCCCAGACTCCACTGCAGGCTGGAAGGGAGAGAGAGGATGAAGGGACGGAAGCCTCAGTGGACAGGAAGTGTGTTGAAAGCTTTGCAAATAGAAAGCCCATTCAGCAGACAGTTATCTTGCAAATTATTTTTCTGTGAAACAAACCTGCACCAACAATGTTACTGAGAATGTACTTAGCTCTGTGTGCATTTTAATCAGCTTTAGAGAAATGATCAGGTCTGCAGCAGAGAGCATTTGAATAATCCAATGTGCACTGCACACCCTCAAGTTTAATAGAATCATTACTTTCTTCCTCTGATGTGTGTCCCCCAGTGTGATAAAATGGGCACTACTGGGTATTTTTGCGAGTCTTGGAGGCTTAGAGTCCCCTGGACGAATGCCATTTGTGCTTTTAGGGAAGTCAACCTCCAGGATAATTTGCAAGTTTAAACACTTGATAAGACTTAGTTGATTACAGCAGTCAAGATGACATATTTGTGATGAGGTCTTAGGTTACCCTCATGGGGCTATCAAACCACTCAATGTGCATAATGTTACAGCTTAAAACACTTTCCAGATCTCTTACTCGGTCTCAGTAACCACCACTCGGCAAACCACGCGATACTCCACCCATCACCCCGCAGACTGGAAGGACTCAGGTTCAGACAGTGCAGCAATCTCTCAAGGTCACGCACACCAGGGTGGAATCCACACTCGAAATCAGGGCTTTTTACTACAAGTCCACGGTATTTCTACTACGTTTTGTGACCTCTAAAATGCTATAATGTATTCAAACTTCAGCATTGGAGGAGCAATGTGCCCAGGTGAAAACAAACAGCAGGTCTGCTCTCTGGCCGTCCAGACCCGCACAGTAACCGCAGGAATGTGTCAACGCAGAATATACACTTTTTGTCTGAACATGGGAGTGTTTTACTTTCAAGAATACAGATGCCTCTGAAAAACTAAGTTTTGCAGATGAAAATACTTTCTAAATGTTTTTAAAGTGAAAATATATTCATTCTAAAAATTGAATTATGTACTAATGATTAAATAAGTACATAAATTCATACTATATTTAAAGAAAATGTTGCTTTAAAAAAAAATATTCAGAACATGTCATCAAGAACAAAGGCACCCCTGGGAAGTCCGGTTACGTGCCAGGCTGAGGGACCAGGGAGCGAGTAGCTCTGTGTGAGGCTGTGGGGACATGATGGTGATGCTGTTTAAAGTACTAAGCTCGCACGCTGAGTGCCTTCTGACTCCGGCTCCAGAGAGAGAGGGACGCCACCGAGGCTCAGATGAACACGCCAGGGCCAGGTTCCCGACGGAGAGTCAGCAACGGGAGGAAAGTGAGGGTGTCCAGGTCACCAGAGAAAAACCAAGAGATGGCAAAGCACCTCCAGCCCTGTGAAGTGGCGCAGTTACTGAAGATAAATCCTGACAGTTTGGTTGCTGATTATTTTGAAGGTTCAACTGTCCACCAGAAAAACAAAAAATTTCTGCTTAATAACGACACCTTAATAGAGAGATTACATCCGTGGGTTCGCTTCGGGCAACCTTCACATGGCAGTAGGATTTGACTCAAGTTCCTCGAGTCTGACTGAGCTTCCTCCAATCGCTGGTTAGCCTTTCCTTTCTTTCCTCATTTACTGAACTCCACGTGCAGAAACTTCAGAGGACGAGCACAAACTCGAGGCGCTTGACGACCCAATGGCAGAGATTAACTGACCTTCCACCCGCAGTCCAGGGTGAAGAGGAGTGGGCAGGGCCCAGGGTTGTGTGTGGATGGGGGGGTGGGGGCAGGCTGGTACTTAGGCCTTTACATATGCAATGAGTCTGAGAGCAACGCCCGCCGATCAGCGATATATGAGCTTCTCTCCTCTTCCCAAATATCACAAAAATGAGTCAAGAAACTTGAAAGAGCAGCACCAAGAGATGTCAATAAAACTTTGATGACAGGGCGCATATGTGTGTGTTAAACAATGAGGCAGAGCAGAGGGGGCTGCAGCACAGCCTGCGGGAGGGCAGGGAGCAAGACACAGGCGATGCTTGCCCACTGGACGGGTGCTGGGCGCCGGGATACCAGACACGGGTCACGAGATTCGAGAGAATCACGTCAAGTTTGAATTCTGACCATTGAGACCTCCAGCCTTTCTTGCCCTGCTGGGTTTTACCGGAAGTGAGGCTTACGTCACCTAAGTGGAACAGGACCCACAGGAGGCCCCAAACCAGGCCCAGTGGGACCGGAGGATGGAGGGTCCAGGAGCAGCGACGCTAAGGAAAAAATAACACTTGTGATTTCCTCATGTGTCTGACTGTCTTGAGTGTGCTGTTGTCGTTGTTCTGGTACAAAGCTTGATGCCTAATTATTGGTAGATGTATAGAAAACTAAGCAACAGAAAAATGAGGCACTTCCTGTTCCAGGAAAAGCACAAAGTTGTACAAGAAAGGAAAAGTTGATTGTTATATGGTCAGCTGTGCTCATAATAATGTAAACCAACAACTGTGAGGTGACTCTGCTGGAGGCCCAACTGGAGGACGGACAGAAGCTGACAAGGAGGGGCCGCTCTCCATGGAGGACAGCGTGAGCAAAGATGTTAAACTCAGAGGAGAGGCTTGTCTGGAAAGTTGTAAAGAGCCCAGATCATCTAAGACACATGGCTGTGGCAGTCAGGGCCTGGGTGAAAGTTTATTTTTGTGTCACATTCATAGCAGCCTAGATATTTGAGACGGTGACAATAAAATCAAGGGTTAGTCTAAGAAGAGGAAAATTTTGTTCATATCAATAGACTCTGAAAAGCTACTTGACGAAATGCAGCAACCATTCCTAATTCTAAAAAACTCAAAGTAATAACGAGACGGCCTTAAGATAACAAAGGCCCTTTATTAAAAATAGCAAGTATTAGAAATGGTTAAACAGAGTATACAACCAAAATCGGGAGCCTGGCTGGATACAATGCTGTCACATTGTCACAACAATGTTAGAAGTTTTAGTTAAACCAATAGATGAAAGAAAATGAATCAAGTGGTGTACACCGGCACAAAGAAGAGAAAAAATCTTAGAAATGTACTTTCCAATATGGCAACCGTTAGCCACATGTGGCCATTTAAATTTAAATCTAAATCAATTAAAATTAAATACAATTAAAAATTCAGTCCCTCAGTTGTAGTGGCCACATTTCACATGCTCAGTAGCCACGTATGGCTTGTGGTTATCGTAGCACAGCTCAGACATAGAACATTTCCACTGTCACAGAAAGCTCTATTGGACAGCGCCATCCTAGAGCTGTGTTAAAACAAACAAACAAAATATAAAATTAACAGGCCACTCATAAATTATCAAGAAGCTTAAAGCAAAGAGAAAATAATAAAACCCATCATTATTGTATATATACTAATGCTGAGGATAAACTAGAACTGACAGATGAGTTTCCCTGTGTCACGCTTTTTCAGCTAAAAATGCCCAATATAAACCATCTGAAATATTTTATGAATAAATATAAGTGGTAATTTTTTTGTGAAAATGTATATTTCAGTTAACGCACAAATCTTGTCTTTCAAAACCTACCAACAAGGAGGTGAAGAAGCTCTTTTATCCAAAGTGATGGTTAGTAGCTTGGTGAATCGAAAGTATGGTAGAGGACCAGAAAAAAAATGCCTGATCATCACATATTAATTTAAAACACAGAAATGTGTGTGTATTACTTTAACTTTGAACATAACAGCCAAAACCTCTCCTTTGAGTATGGGCTTCTCGATTGGGCTTCTCACCATTTTTCTTGCATAAATCATTTCCCCAACCTGCCCTCTATGATTTCAAATTTCAGAGTATTGAAGGTGGACTCAGACTCTTGCAAAGCTAGATTTCCAGCAATGAACCCCAGTTGTCATTCTCATCTCTAACGCTATAGCTAATCAGCAACTCACTTTTTCCATCTTTCCAAAGCATACAAATTAGTTTTCCTAGAGACGATGCTTTTTTTTTTTGTATTTCATCAACTTACACACTCTTTAATTAAGTCGTGGGGGAGGTAGCAGATTAGGAGGCATCGCTGTGTTGTGACTCGGCAAAGTCTCCCAGAGGCTGCCAGGAGGTGCCGGGCAGGCAGAGAGATCCCTCACCAGGAGCCTGGCCAAGGCGCTGAGTTCCAAGGGGAAAGAAAGTTGCAGGAGCCCAAGGTGAACTGACGGTGGTGGCTTCCTCAGTTTTCCTTTGAAAGGCAGCATCATCTCCTGAAAACAGTATTCTAGACACAGTGGTTCTGATCAGCTGGTCTCATGGACGGTGCGGCCTGAGGACCTTTCTCGACCTTCACTGGAGCACACGTAGACACTGGTGAACAGGGTTAGGAGGGCTGCTATTAGAACACGCTCCCATCAATATAGTGGAAACACGTGGCATGGAGGACGGGACTCTGAGGAAGACAGCTGTGATGCAACCTGCCTGAGATCCCCTCGTGGATGGGAGAATCTCACCAAACAGGGAGGAATCTGCCACAGTTAAAAGGAACCTAATCCCCCTGTCCCTGAAGAACAATTCTCTCTCCAGAATGTCCCCAGGCAAGTCACACGTCTCACAGGTGACAGTGCATGTGTTGTTTCCAGTTTTGGATTTATTTTCTCATTATTTCAATGATATAAACATCAATTAATTTTCAAGAAAATCACATGTGAATCTTACCAGTTAGCTGCTACACTTCAGGAAAAAGCTTTTACAAATACTGTATTTCATCCTCACAGCCACAACCCCCACACTCTGTGGTGGGGAAACATGGCTCACAGAGTGAATACACTTGCCCCAGGATGAAGAGCAGAGCAGGACCAGAACTGGATGTCATTGTCACTGCTCTCTCCCTAGAAGGCCGCTGTTTCCCACTGGCGTTCTCTGATCTCCCAGGACCTGCTATCGGTCCTGCGCTTGGGGACCTGTGGTGACATGCTCACTTCAGTCTTCCATGTTTAAGATATTTTGTGATAAAAGCCCTGGACAGGAAGCCAAACGCATGTATCTGAGTCCAGGTTCCTCCTTAAATCTCATG